ATAACTATAATTTTAGTGTTAATTCCCGGCTCCTGAATTCATCGCGTGTGTTGATCTTCGGCCTCTCAGCTCAGCAGTACCGCCTACCTCCTTTTTACATTCTAACAAGTGTTGTCCTACTGGGGAGTCCCATTTGCGTTGTTCATCGACCCTCGTGCCTAAATGTCGGACTGTCTGGCCGACAAAGGTGGAGTTACATCCACTACATGTAAGCTTGTACACCACTTTGGATCTCAGTTCACGAGCAAAGGAAGTTTTGAGGGATGTCAAGCGCGCTTTCAATTTTCTTGTTGTAAAAATTATTTGTGCCCCGGATATCAGCCGAACCTTTGCAGCTAACAGTTGAGATGGATTGCCTCGATATTGCATTGTAAGAAGGGGTGGTGAGTCTTTCAACCATTTATCATTTCACAATTCTGATGCCTTCACCTCTAAATTTTTCTTTCCTTCAATGATCTTGTTAAAAGTTTCAAACACTTACCTGTCAGACCAATTTTTTGGATATTGATTTTCAATCCATTGCTTCCGATTTTTTTCCAATGCCTGGTCAAAATATTCTCATGTTGAAGTACTTCTGAAAACTCTATGAACCGTCCCTTCAATAACGTTTCTTTTGTACTGCAAAGGTGCGCAGCCTCTGAAATTTAGAATGGTGCCGGTATCAGTGGGTTTTTGGTACCAACCACATGTGACCTTTTTTTACTGAATCCACGTTGACATTTAAGTCCAAAAGGCCAAATTACCGTTTCTATCAAGTTCTTCTATGCTGAACTGCAAGTTCGGATGCAACTTATTGGCAGCCTCGAGAACTACCCCAGGATCGCCCTTGACCTTTCTAACTACGTCGTCCACATATCTTAGAACTTTAACACCTTTCACAGTCCGATCTGCTTCCTGTTGTTTTTTGCAAGTCATGCAATACCTTATTGTTTCAGCGATGTCTGCGTATTCGGATTCCGATATGTTACCACACCCTAAGTGGTACCAATTCAAACAAGCTTCGCATTCTACCCCTTTTGTCCGATATGTCACCTTTTTCTGACATCTAGGGCACACTTCCTTGTTACCCTCACTTAGCACAGTCAATTTTGGTTCTTCTTTCCTTACTGCAGGTTCGTATTCTTTGAGCCACAAATTGGCCAATATTACTGCAAGGGAGGCGCCCATTGCTAAACCGTCTTTTTGTACATACCACAAACCATTGCATTTAAAGTGTACCTTACTCACTGCCAAATGCAGTAGTTTTTTCATAGTCTTGCGAGATGTTTCCGGAGGGTTGACTTGCTCATATAATCTCCTTGAGCGGGACATTAGTGTACAAACTCTTTACATCAAGGGAGACTTTACTCTCGTGTGAGTCCAACTCAGTTTTCTCCAAGACCTCCCTGGCCATTTGACTGTTCGTTTCTATGTTTGCCCCCTCAATTTCATCAAAGTACTTTGCCCTTGTTTTATTTAGGTTGTCATATGAGCTACCAGGTAAAGAAAGGGCGGGACGAAGTGGTGTGCCTTGTTTACGTACTTTTGCTAATCCTACCAAGATCTCAACCTATTATACATCGCTTCGCTAATCTCGTCCTTCTTTTTCATGGCGAGTAATTCTTTGTTTATGTTTTTTTTTTTCAATTTTCATAATCTTGCTGTCTGTCAGATTCTTTCTCTCATTAAGTTGTAATAAATCTTTCAATTTTTTCTCATATGTCTCCTTTTTCAGTACTTAAAAACCTGCCCCCTTGTCAAACGGCACTGCCAAAAGATCGTTGTCTTTCAAATACTTTCTTGCTTTTTCAACACCTTTGTCAGAGGGGGGTCTGTTTCACATTCTTAGCATATCTCTTTGCAGCTGCTTCAATCTCACATAATTTTTTCCGGGTATTCTATTTAACTTCAGTTCAGACAAAAAACTATCAATGTCAGCAATTGAATTTGTCTCGTACCGGATGTTTTGGTCCAAAAACTTAAGACTTCCCGCACCCAAAGCGGCAAAATCACTTCATCTAAAATTCTAACTGACCTTTCATCCAAGTTTTTTAATGGTCTATCCTGTCTTTCCGAAAGTTTTTCAAGCTTTCTCTTATGTCGGCTTATCAGGTTACTGACACTACACCTTGCTTGCCGGTTCAGATAGAATATTACCGAAGGCCACCACTTCTAATCTATCGATTTTACCAAGGCGCCAGATTGAAAAAAGTATAGAATTCGATTTTTGAACAATTGTCAATATGGTTAGAACGACTAAAATTGAAGTCAATCGTAAACCCCAGCACTTTGAGGTCATCAACAACCTCAATGCCTTCAACAATATGTATGGCATTACTGCCACTATGGTTGAAAATGATACGCATTTCCTTGGAAGATTTCTGAACATTGAGTAACAAGTTTCTTGCGTCGAATTGGTGACATAGCGAACTAATAACTTCCCGAGCATTGTCAGCGCTTTTGCAGCCAGCTACAAGAGGATTGTTGTCGTCAGCATAAGTTGATAACGTGATGGAAATATCTGAAACATCAATATGATGGGTAGAGCCATTGTAAAGAGGCGGAACAAGGACAGTGCCCTGAGGGACACCCTGACTAGTATACAAAACAGTTGAATCCAAGCCATTGATAGAATTATAATGGGCTCTATTTTGCAAGAAAATGATTACGTTGACAACCGCAGGATCGACTACTGGGACAATATTCATTACTCCTTCTATAACACTCTTGGGGGAAATAGTATCAAAAGCTTTTGACATATCTAAAGAAAAGAAGCGAACATAATCATAGTTTTCACGGAAATACCAGAGATGATGTTGCAACCTAATGGGCATACAGGAAGTAGAAGAATGTTTACGAAAACCATACTGGTTACATGTAAGCCATCTGTTATAAGGGCCTTGCAGATAGTTCTGGTAAATTAACCTTTCAAACACTCTGGACATAACAGAAGTAACAGAAACAGGCCTCAAAACCTTTGGCTGCTTTGGAGACGAAATTTTTGGCAAGGAATATATTTTTGCAAGCTTCAAAAATTCCGGGAAAATACCTTGTTCCAAGCACAAGTTGAACATAAAACAAAAAATTTCGGCCAAATTGTGGGCATTATCCTTAACGATCTAAAACGGCAAAGCGTCTGGGCCAGTAGCGGTGCGTCTAATGCGTTTCATGGCATTAAATGTTTACAAGAGCGAAAACTAAGGACCATAATTTGTAGTCTCCAAATAAGTAGTCTTGAATGGGCCTCCAGAATCAGTGGAGATGCCATTATAGTACTGGTTAAGCAGCTCAGCCGAAAAACCACAGGTGCGTACTGGGGGCTATTGTATTCTTATTCAATAAATTATTCACACGCTGCCATCAGTTTCGACCACTGGAATCAGAAAAGGCACGTTTAGTAATTAACATACGAACTTGGAGGCCGACAGCATTCGCCTCCGCAAGTTTACTTCGGCGTGTATGTCGATGCTTCTTCATTAAAAGATATTTGATAACCGGAAGTCATAAAAGGTGGATCCTTTGAGCTATGAACAACAAATTTCAATGGACAGGCGACCTTATACAGATTTAGAAGCTCGTTGGAAAGTTCCCCTAACAACACATTTGGAGCGTTGTAGTTAAGAAAAAAATAAAGGTCAGCAAGAAAGCAATCTAATAAAGAAAGCAATCTAATACGAGGTCATCAGTATCCAAATTATTGAAATCCTCACAGAATAGAATAATTGACGAGGAGTTCTGGTCCCTGAAGACATTGATGGAATGTGAGATATGCATTTCTAGCTGACGGCCATTCGTAATATCAGATAGGAAAAAAACCAAACAGACCACCCAATATTTATTTCCTACGCTAACTGACAGCCACAGAGTTTCATACTGATCAGAATGATGACAAGTCCACCGATCACTGACAATACCTTCACGAACAAAAATACAGACACCGCCGCCTGTGGTTTTGTTAGAGTTCAATGAACTGCGGTCTTTCCTAAATATATTATACCCAGGAGTAGCAATATACGAATTATCAATAACCGTGGTTAACCAAGACTCAGTTATACAGATAATATCAAATCCGCGATAACTGGCATCACACTGTAGTTCATAAATGGCATTATTTTTTTTCCATGAACGGGCATTCAGCAAACATAGAGTAATTTTGGGGTTGGCTAGTCAGAACACATGTTCTTTGCCATCCAGATTCAATTTGAAATCTCTAACTCTCAGTCTATCCTTTGAGATACCGGTTTCGACAAGTTTATATCGTTCAGAGAGAATACGCGACTCCACTTTCTCTTCGTCAACCGTAAGCTCTCTGGATAAGTAGATGCGATCAGAATAATCTTTCAAGATATACGATTTTGCCAGCAACTTACGAACCAGCACTGGATTCTTAAACCTCACCAGCAAGAGTCTCGGCTGATAGCATCATATCGATACTTTCCCAGCCGAAAGGAATCAGTAATAGGCTCATTGACAGGCTCTCCCGAATACTCCATTTTTTCTGACTGCTTGAATGTCTGACTCCCTTCTGTCATGCGATTTCTGGTTGGAAGGTTCAGGCACGCCATATATTCTTTTTCCCATTTTACTTTGATCATCAGGTGTAACAGGCGTTGCTGTGTGGCCATATACAGTTGTCTTAGTATTAGTGGATACAATAGCTGCTTTAAGATTGATGACTTCAGTTTTGATAGATTCTAGAGAAGTTTCAATAGAATTATCTGGAATGGGCGTCTTCATTGCTGTCTTGGCATCGTCAAGGCAGTTCGCACAGGCCCACATAATCCCACGAACAGATGATAGATGGTCGTAAATCTGCTGCGGGATGTACGTACACGCCCGATGCCACCACTCGCCATATCTATCGCATTGCACTCCTTCGTCTTGCTTCTTCACGGCTGCGTTGCAGGATGTACACGGTGAATTTTGAGCACTCTTCAAGCGTCCAAGAGTCCCCGTCATCATAGCATAAGCAATTTCTTTTGAGGTCAGTGGAAATGTCGTGTACAGATGAACATTTAGCCACTATTTAATAAGTTTATCACAACAATTAGGCTATATGGCAATATCTAGCTTGTGCAGCTTGTAAAAAAACGAAAGGGCCTCTTTTGTAATTAAGTTTTTCTTAAGTTATTCTTATATGCGATTTCTATTATAACTAGAAAATTCGAAGACTTGCTGAAATGTGTGACGAGGGGACTCCCCGATTTCAACGATACTTTTGACCTTCTGATTACCTTTTCAAAGAACAGTTTCTTTATCTATATTCTGCTCAAAATTTATTTGGCAATTTGATAACCTCCGTTTTAATCCACAACCTGCGTATATACTAGGCTCACTTTAAGGTCAAAAATTAGCCAATCACAGTTGACTTCTAAATTACTATAAAGATTAAAATACTTTTAATCTCTAAAACTAATTAAATTTTTTTAAATTACTTTGTCTGGAAGATTCTGAGTCGTAATTTCGATTTAGACATGTACGTTTTAAATAGAAAACCAAAAAAATCTTTTGGACTAAATTTTTAGAGTAGTTTATTGTTAAAATCCTGACGATGCACATAATTGCAAAAATGTTTGAAATTTTACTTTTTAGCAAAAATTTTTTCAATTTTATTTGAAAACTTGCGAAAAAACCGAGAAGCGAAGAGCTTAGAACTCCAGCTGTTTTCCCACTAAAGGTCCAGTATAGAAAAGTTTAATAATTTTGCATCCATGAAAAGGTATTTTTCTAGTGTTTTTTGTCGATACGTAAAATATGGCCGAATGTTATTTAAGTTACCGAAATGTTCCATATTGTAGCAGCTGGCTCCCTGTTCCACAGCATCAACAACCTCAACTGATGTGAGAACAAGCGTTACGAGTGCCTTGTTAGAGCAAATCCTGGCCTATCCCGCAAAAACAACTTACTGGTAGACAGTCCATTGAAGGAAAAAAAAGTGGTTGTGTGGCGCGACGAGGTGAACAACACCATTAGCAGCCACAAAACAAACAACTTGTGAAATTCGACCAGAATGGACAAAAGGCAATTTCTTATTCAAATTTTTATCGGAACATCTGACCAAGAGAATTGATGGTTTTGATGGATTAGTGACGCTAATTAAACGATTAGACAAATCGAGAGGGGTTAGTTTTGACTAACATGCTAATTTTTAAATTTTCGATTGGGACGTGAACGACACGTAACCTTTTTATATTTCGCACCAACTGAAACTGCGAAATCAGAACGAGAGAATTCTCAGTGAAAACAACAACAACTTACTGAAACTGTGAAACTGTGAAACTGATCGAGATTGAAGAAAGAATAGGATTGTCAGAAACCATTCCGAGCTGTAACGATCGTGCAGCTACAATCGTTAGAAAGCAATTCACGAGAACCAGGAAGGGTGTTGGGACGACGTGTCCAGCCTTCCGAGAGAAAATAAGAGCGTTATTTGCCCGGATTCCAGAATCTTGAAGGGTCTCGGGAGATAACTTAAACATTATTTTAACAAACTTTTAGCATCCTGGAAATGTCCCGAATTGAATTGATAACATCCAATTCGTTTTCAGATCATGAGAAGCTAGGAGTTGAGAGAAAAGTTTGATCCATCTTCGATGGAGATGATGATTTTTATCTACTGAACAAAAACAATGGTAATATTAAATATAAGTAGTAGCTCTGTGTTTAGGAGTGACCTCGGGGTCTGGGGATACTGAGACCCAGCCATGAGCTCACTATTTTTGCATAAAATTAAGTTAATTAGAGAATTCTGATCGAAGCCGGAAACAGTAACGTTTTTTGTCGACCCGATGTTAGAAATGCCAACAAAAGAACCGGCTTGGGCAGAGACGGTGAAAGCGTGTTTAGACGCTAGCCAGTCGTTTTAGAATCTAGCTTTATTTTCCGTCGATATGTACTTCAGGGCGAATGTTACATAGATGTTTTTACGGCGCTCCTGGGTTTTATTTTTTTATAATATCATGACTGGCAGAACCGTTAACGCGCACTCCGCGCCGAGCGGATCCTCATAAAAAAGCCCGTAACCACCGGGGCGGAAGGGTAGTTCGGAACGCGGAAGCCTTCCGGATTCCTGTGTCTAGCTTTTTAACCTAATTAAGACCGAAAATTCACGAACCAGGAAGGGTGAGGGGATTCGCGGTCCCGTCAATTCCTGAGTGTTACGTGACCAAAAACACTTAAAAAGATACAGGAAACCAAACAAAAAGTAGTATAGTACCTAAGAAAAAAAACAAATAAATAACCGAAAAAATCAAAAACAGTAAAAAAAAAAAGTATAAAATCAGTAGAAATCATCTCCCCAGACGAGATGTGATTCGACCCTTTCGTTTGTTGTTGTTAGATATATTGTTTTTACAGGTATTTATATCAGTCAGGATCGTTACGATCAAATTTGTGGCCCGTTTGTGGTGCTTGTACTGTAGGGTTATTGGAGTGTTTAAGCACGTTGATGCTAATTTGCGTTCAATCCGGAAGGGTCTCGGGATTAAAGAAGAAGACTGATCCGGCAAGCAGTGCAAGGAGCGACAAGAAGGGGCTCAAGGACAACAAAAATCGTTTGGTGGGTATCGTTAACGAGTTTTGATTCCCTTTTGGTACAAAAAGTAGGATATTAATCTGTGGGGGCTCGACAGTGACTGCACTGTTGTGACCCTTCACCTAACTAAGAACTTCCGAGTTAAGCACCTTAATTCGGGTATTGAACAAACCCGGAGTGGTATTGTATTACTAGTATTTCTATTTATACAGCTCATATTAAAACTCCTATGCCGCTTTTCAGTGAAAAACACAGCAAGCAATCCGGTTTTTAGGGTCAAAATAGCGATATTTTGATCCCCTCACAAATCGAGATTTTTGAGATATCGATATTTTTTGAAACGGAAAAAAGCGCAAAACTAGTAAGTTACATCGTAATTGTACTAGTTTAATAGGTAGAACAGGTTGAGTTTAGTTCAGAAGTGGTTGGAACTAATTGGGTACCAACAACGAATTTTCTTGATTTTTGAAAAAACGAAACGCTACAATATTAGTAAATTTTTTGAAATTTTTGAGTTAGGACAGTAAAATGTTGTTCGGACAACGTTCGCTAGTGAAATGACAGGTATTAAATTCCGTTTGCCGATAACGTTCCGGGTTACAGTGAAATCGAACGTGTTTGATTTAGTGGATTCATCAATCCGGAAGGGTCCAAAAAGCATTGTTTTTGCAAACTTTTCCAGCTGGAACTTTTTAGATCGGGTTTTCTGCATTTAACTAGAGGATTAAAGGCCTTCTGAGCTCAGATAAATAAATTTAAGGTCAAAGAGAAAACAATTACGAAAAAAGTTAGGCGGAACCTATAAAAGAAAAAAATTTTGACATTAGAAAAAAGACGTTTTGTTTAATAACTCCAGTCGATCTTGGTACCATTAGATCAAAAAATAAGTGAGCTTACTCATAAAGCTTTCAATTATCCAAAAAAAGTAAGCGAAAAAAATTTTTAAAGAATGTTTTTAGCAAACTCACTAATTCGTGAAGGTAGACCCTTCACGTTTTATAAATTTTTTTTGTACCCCTACCAAAGGGTAGTAACGGTTAAATAAGGCAAATTTACCCTGTTCTAGACAAAAAGAGAAGGCTAAGAAAACCAGAAAACCAGAGTCGAGTCGAAACTAGGTTAGTTATAAGATCCTTCACAGTTAAGGTGAATTGTCAAATAAAAGGCTTATCCTCGATCCGGAAGGGTCTTGGGACGGAAAATACACCCTTCCTAGTTAGTTTCTACAGCATAATAGCATCGGAGAACGTATTCGGAAGGGAATTGAGTGAAAATTTTAAAAGTACCGGAAAAGCTATTTTTACAAACAGAGGGGTCCCAATCAGGAAGGGTCCAAAAATTTCGCAATCCGGAGGGGTCCCAATTTTGCCAATCCGGAGGGTCCTACTTTTGCCAATCCGGAAGGAAACGATTTTTGCCAATCCGACGGGGTCCTTTTTTTGCCAATCCCGAGGGGTCCTGTTCTTTGCCAATCCGGAGGGATCCTATTTTTGTCAAAACATAAGTAGACAAAAGAAAAGTAAATAGTGACAGGTATTAGATTATTAGTATTCAGGCTAGGAACCAGTGACTGCACTGTTAACTTGCCTTTTTTAAAAGACTAGACTAAAACAAAAAAAGTCTAAGCCCGGATATTCGCGACACTATGTCTAAACTTAACAGGAGTTTGTCACTGATTTGTGATTGAAATTCAAATCGTTTTTTCGAAAAGTGATTGCCTTGAGGATTTTAGTAGGTCTAGCTCGGGCAACCCGAAGGAAGATACGTAACATAGGACTCGGTGGGTACAATAGACGCCCACTTGAGAAAGTTACTGCCTTCAAGTTTTGTCTGTTTGATGCAGCACCAAACAGGGAAAGCTCTTTCTTCAAAAACAAGTTCGACTATTACATTGCAACTGACTAAAGTACAAAACACGTACGTTTTTCATTGAAAATATTTTAATTTATTTTTCTTCATTTTTGGTTTTAAATCAATAATATCTGTTCTTGATTGGGCAGTGAGCACACTATCTTTTAAATATATTGATATCATCAGACTAAGCTAGCTTCATATCTTACAGCTAATAATCGATCATTGTGAATAAATTGTATACACGCTGTACTGTGATAACATACAAGGATTCGTGGTCACAATTTAAGTGAAACTTTTGGAAATTTTTGTGTTATGTTATTATTATCAGTAGTCAAACAACAAGGACATTAGCGATCGAATTGAGTGTGTAGGCAGTAAGAAGTGATAAATTGAAAATGAGTCTAGACAAGTCAAGGATACCCAAAGTAAAGGATATCCAAGAGTGATAGCTCTAGGAAATTCATACCAGAGAAACAAAGAAAGACAATGAGCGACCCTATTGTGGAAAGGATCACACGAACTCGGACAAACAAAGGGAAGAAATTTTCAGGCGGAATGGTTGAATTCAGGAGTCAAAATTCCTCAGAAGGAAAAAGGCAATGTTAGAGACAGAGGTACATCCGGAACCTGCCATGGATGAGAACCGGGACGGACATCGACCGG